GTATTGTAAAGACGAGCCACAGAGAAAGCAAAAATCGTCACAGATAGTTTTCATTTTTTCATAACGCCAATCTATTTGACACAATAGAGTGTCAAGAACACTGTAAATTTGTATTTTAAATAATTTTACAGGTGTCAAGTTACTTCCTTCATCTGGTGTTTTATCTATTTCTATTATCTTAACTCTTTTTTTCGTTTATTAAGAAATCCCTTTTCTATACTTTTTGGTTTCTTTTAAGAATATGATCAATAATAGCATCTGTTAATATTGTTAGCCATAAAGCTATATCATTTATTACTTCCATATATCTATATATATCAAAGCTTTTTTCTGGACTATTTCTATCTTCTGCGTTTTTGCAATACCTTTTTACAGTAGCATTTTAAAGACTGCGGTAGCCCCTTTGGGGCCCTACGCGCCTTCATAGTTTGCTTACCATTTAATCCGTCGTTCAGGTATACACCACATATGTGTACCACTATAAAGCAAAAAATGATGTCAGAATTTCTGCACGTCTTTTACAACCTCGAGACTAAGATTTTATTTGGGAGTTACCGTTTTCAATTTAGTAATTTTTATAAAAATCCTTGGGCAGATTTATTTTTGTTACAAAATGTTACCTTTACAGATTTCTAGCTCTGCAAAACTGTAGAAAAATCTAGAAATACAGTTTTTTATATCGTAATAATATTAGTAGTAGCTCTATAAAGTAGAGAAAAATCTGTAAATTTGAAAACTATGAATATAAATTTAAATTTCTCAAAAAATAAATTAAAAAATCTCAAAAGTCGCTAGTTTTGGCTGATTTGTCTGAGGTCTCCGCTACATCCCTCTAAAAGTCACCACAGTTGGAAACACTGGTGAGCAGGCATCTAGGGTCTAAGTAAGGCAAAATGTAATCGCCAAACTGCGCTGTAGAAAAGCAGAAAAATTTAAAATTTAAAAATACTGTATAATTTCTTGTGAACAGCAGTTTGGGCCCCCCTTCCAAGCAGGCCCTGTGCGGATGCACCTGTTGCACCTGCCTAGTTACGGCTCTGATGGGGATCATGTGTATCTCCAGTAGGATCAGACTTAATTACTATTTTGCTCGTTATTAGCATTTACAGTTTTTTTATAAAACTTATCTGTACTCTCAAAATTAAACATTTTGCCATTTTATAATAATTAAAAATGTAAACAGTTTTTTTAAAATGAAATATCATAACAGATAGTGCCACTAGAATTTTAAATGTTGCCGGGAAACTTAAGTGATTTGTTGCTGGATTTGTTACATTTAAATGGACCCATATTACATTTCTGGATTCCTCATCTCAATTAATGGAAAATGACAAAGTTTATTCAAAATTTATCAAATAGATTTTGAGAATGAACACAATTCTGTAAGCCTTATAGAAGTTTTGCTAATGCTCCGTTTCAATGATTATGATCAATAATTGCTTGTTAATATTATAAAGTTCATGAAATTTTGTATAATATGTCACATGTGTTAAATTTTTGTTTGAATTTAGATTGCATACTTTCTAAAATCTGGTTTTTCCCTGTTTCTTATATCAATTAAAAAACTTTTGTTGTAAATTAAAAGATTTTACAATATATATTTTTTTTAAGTCTAAAACTTTCAAAAATACTTTTGCATTACATTTTTATAAATTCATGAATATTTTATTTGTATTTCAAAGATTTTCTTTGTTGAAAATAAAAAAATACATTCAAACAAACAATTTCTAGTTATCAAAACTTTTTCCAAAACATGACTGTCTTTAAATTCTTAACAAAAATAGTAATAACATCTGTAAGAAACCCTTTTGACCATAATATTTTTAATATTGTACAGTGCAGTATGTATACATGCCAGCACACATACTGTTTACATTATGGTCAGTTTGGATAATTGGATACTGTGAATTAATTGAAATTAGATTTGAAAATATTATAAGAATTAACATTTTTATTCATAAAGTATGGATTTTTTTTAATCATTACAAATAATTTATTGAAATGTTACCTATTTCAGGCTACAAAAAGAGTTGAAAAAGTTAGAGCAAAATATGATTTTGAAGGAAGTGTAAGTATTAATTTAAAAGAAACTAATAATTTTAAAAAGAAATTAAGTTTATANTATGAACATAAATTTAAATTTCTCAAAAAATAAATTAAAAAATCTCAAAAGTCGCTAGTTTTGGCTGATTTGTCTGAGGTCTCCGCTACATCCCTCTAAAAGTCACCACAGTTGGAAACACTGGTGAGCAGGCATCTAGGGTCTAAGTAAGGCAAAATGTAATCGCCAAACTGCGCTGTAGAAAAGCAGAAAAATTTAAAATTTAAAAATACTGTATAATTTCTTGTGAACAGCAGTTTGGGCCCCCCTTCCAAGCAGGCCCTGTGCGGATGCACCTGTTGCACCTGCCTAGTTACGGCTCTGATGGGGATCATGTGTATCTCCAGTAGGATCAGACTTAATTACTATTTTGCTCGTTATTAGCATTTACAGTTTTTTTATAAAACTTATCTGTACTCTCAAAATTAAACATTTTGCCATTTTATAATAATTAAAAATGTAAACAGTTTTTTTAAAATGAAATATCATAACAGATAGTGCCACTAGAATTTTAAATGTTGCCGGGAAACTTAAGTGATTTGTTGCTGGATTTGTTACATTTAAATGGACCCATATTACATTTCTGGATTCCTCATCTCAATTAATGGAAAATGGCAAAGTTTATTCAAAATTTATCAAATAGATTTTGAGAATGAACACAATTCTGTAAGCCTTATAGAAGAAGTTTTGCTAATGCTCCGCTTCAATGATTATGATCAATAATTGCTTGTTAATATTATAAAGTTCATGAAATTTTGTATAATATGTCACATGTGTTAAATTTTTGTTTGAATTTAGATTGCATACTTTCTAAAATCTGGTTTTTCCCTGTTTCTTATATCAATTAAAAAACTTTTGTTGTAAATTAAAAGATTTTACAATATATATTTTTTTTAAGTCTAAAACTTTCAAAAATACTTTTGCATTACATTTTTATAAATTCATGAATATTTTATTTGTATTTCAAAGATTTTCTTTGTTGAAAATAAAAAAATACATTCAAACAAACAATTTCTAGTTATCAAAACTTTTTCCAAAACATGACTGTCTTTAAATTCTTAACAAAACAAATAATAATAACATCTGTAAGAAACCCTTTTGACCATAATATTTTTAATATTGTACAGTGCAGTATGTATACATGCCAGCACACATACTGTTTACATTATGGTCAGTTTGGATAATTGGATACTGTGAATTAATTGAAATTAGATTTGAAAATATTATAAGAATTAACATTTTTATTCATAAAGTATGGATTTTTTTTAATCATTACAAATAATTTATTGAAATGTTACCTATTTCAGGCTACAAAAAGAGTTGAAAAAGTTAGAGCAAAATATGATTTTGAAGGAAGTGTAAGTATTAATTTAAAAGAAACTAATAATTTTAAAAAGAAATTAAGTTTATAATAATTATTTAATAGGGTGATCCTGATGATTTGCCATTCAAAAAAGGAGAGATATTAACTGTTATATCTAAAGATGAGGAACAATGGTGGACAGTCCGGAATAGTTTGGGACAAACAGGTTCTATTCCGGTGCCATATGTTGAAAAGGTGAACATTTATATGTAGAATATTCTCCTTTTTTTAAATATTTGAAATTTATCAATATAACTGTAATCAAAATTTGCTTTTAATAATTTTAGTTTGATGATAGTCAAACTCTTCTTACTGATGGACAACCCTGGCAAGGACCACAATCTCCTGTACAGTCAGCATCTAGTCAAAGTTCACAGAATAGTCGACCACCTACTGATCCAATAAAATATAATACACCAACAAATATTCAGGTACATCATAGCGTAACTCTTGTAGTAATAAATGCTAAAATTCATTTTAATCTACATAATGAATAATCTGTAGAGCCAATAATAAATTTAAGTGTATTTTATAATCATAAAGCAAAAACAAATATAACAATAACATACCTGAAATATTGTATTGTTTTCTGGATTGACTAAAGTTGTTCATTATAACACAAATTATATCATTCTGTCACTAAAGTTTATACTGTAACTTTCAAACAAACTTGCATTATATATTTATGATTATCATGAAATAATTGAAATAAAATATTTTAAATCCNGGATGAAATGAGTTCAGCATCGCAGCATAGCCCTAACTAGTCTTAGGGCGAGTTTAGATATTCTAACCGGTAACACTGTGATAGTTGTGACTGACGTCATCGGTCAAAGCCGGTTATTCCGGGCGATTAGAGCATTTTTAAACACGCTGATTATTTTGTGGTGTTCAACATGGCGGAAAATCGAGAGGAGGAGATATTAATTCTGTCATTGCTCTCGAATATCGATTCAGAATCATATGAAGATGATGATTCAACAAGTTTATCAAAAGATGAAAATGAACTTGTAGAATTTTTTAAACACTTATCGGATAAAAATTTATCTTCGTTTAGTTTATTCTGTGAAATCAATAATTTCGTAGCATTTGCTGGCCATTTTCCATGTTGTCTTGACTCATCTGAAATTTGGGACGACATGGCTTTCTGATCTGTCTACTTGGACGTTGTTTATTAATAGGAATTATTACCACCATATACACACACACAAATTCAATATTTTAGCTTAGCTTATTTTTATTTAAATTCTTATAAAAACATTTTCCTTATTTCATATTTAATTTAATAAAGTAATATTTTTCATTACTGTTACTTTTGTTACACAGAGAAAACTTCCAGCACTAGCAAGGGTGAAGCAAGCTCGAGTACCCAATGCATATGACAAAACAGCATTAAAATTAGAGGTAAATGTTTTGATAATTTCAGTTAAAAGTTTGGATGCTGTTTTTTTGTCACTATACTTAAAACTTATTAAAAATATCATATGTAATTTATTTTAGAGTTGTAAAAGCTTTTTACATTTCTGTTAAATAGGTAGGCGATGTAATTAAAGTGACAAAAATGAATATTAATGGTCAGTGGGAAGGTGAGTTAAGAGGGAAAGTAGGTCATTTTCCTTTTACGCATGTAGAGTTTGTCGATTCAGATAATCCTGAAGAGGAAGAACCTTAATGTCTTAATACTGAAGACTGTGAACTAAGTGAAATCACTTTTCCTAGCTGTCGTGTACATAAATAAAAGAAAAAAAACAGTTAATGTTGTGTGACATCAACAGAAGATAAACTGCTTGCTAGACTAAATGTAATGTAGAACAGACATCCTTCCCTGCTACTTCAATTTGTGCAATTCTACATCACTGGTGGAAGTTTGCCCATCATATAATATCCAGTTTTTGTGATATATTCAACAACCTATATTAGGGTTCTTTTTCTACAGGTGTTGCCTTAGTCTTTTCCAGCTGTTGTATAGAACTACTGTACTACATCCAAAAGGCCTTATATTCTCTTTGTGGTTTCTGTGCATTATGCAAATAGTATCTCTGAGCCTAGATTATAATCTGTCATTAAACAGTTTCACTAAAGACAGATATAAACTGGACTGATATAATTTATCTCCATCACCATATATTCTCATTGAAACAATTACTTGTGCAGGGAGTACAGAATGACTGTGAAAGATGTCTGCAAGCTTTTTGGCAACATTATAAAAATGTTTGCTAGAATCTACAATGATGAATTTCTTTCTTTGTATTGTAGTAAGTTAGTGTGAATGTGATTATATGATGTCTGAAATTTTGTGAACAAAAGAATAAAGATAATGAATGATTCTTTGCAAAATTGTATATCTCGCTGGATAAGGTTAAATATAAAGGCAGCTTCAAAAATGATCAAGTTCTGTTATTTATTCTTTTGAAGCTTCATTATCTTTCTCCAGAAATGTATTTGGAGATTTTCAATCTTATTTAGCATGAAATGTAAACGTTTTAGTATTTCATTAAAAAAATGTAAAATAAGAATTTAATTACGCACCAATCAAATACTTTGTAATGTAGTTTTAAACAGATTATTTTACTATTATTATTATTATTATTATTATTATTATTGCATTGAAGTAGCGAGAAGCCAGTTCGGTCCCGGACGTGAATAAGGTATTCAAATTGAGCTACGTTTATTGCCGAGCGGTTCATACATATCGAAGGTTCTGTTAGACGAAGAGAGTTTGGCACGCGACCCCTCAGTATTCTCGTGATCCAAGAATAAATATGCTCTTGTCTCACGCACGGATATTAAACTTCGCATCGCAACCCTGACTAAAGTCATCGCCGACAACGACAGTGATGTTGTTCAATTATGCTAACAGATATTCAACAGGTACATTGTTGTAAAAGAAACACCGTCGAATCTAACGGATAAACAAAAATAAACACGTATTATTGGCTATTGCAAATTTAAATAACGACCGTCCAACCAATAGGGATCAATTTCTCTAGCGCTAAATAGACACGATGACCTAAAAAAGTTCGGCGATTGATTCGATTGTCTGCCGAATGCGTCGCTTTCTCTCCCCTTTTTATATATATATATTTTTTATATAGAAGGCGCGGTGTAAGGAAGTAGTATAGGAATTCTCGGAAAAGCCGACAATTTTACGACGTCATGGAAATGGTAGAGATAGATTTGAGTGCAGAAAGTCGACTTGAAACTAACGGAATCCGTCACTCCACCCATCCAGTCACGTAATCAATACGCAGTAAAGGTTGGGCCTGTGACAATACCGTTCCTTACGTCGCCGAATGATAGTCGATCCCCTAATGAACCCTAAACGGTCATATTAACGTAATCCGTTATTAACGTTTAGCTGAAAGAATCGCATCTATTCACGCTCCTCTTCCGTCCTTCCTCGGCGACTGCGGTGGAAAATTAATTGACGAACACACGTATACCAACTCAAACTAGTAAAATAGAGANTCTTGACAGTTATCACATAGTATTTTTGTAGTACTATGCACTTTGCAAATAAATTTCAAACAACTGTTGCACTTAGTAGCATATTTACCATCTTTTTTTCCAGCACAAAATGACAACATACTCTTTTCAGGAGATTTCGGCTTGATCTAGCAATTTGTATAATATTATCTTCTATTAGCAGTTCAAATGATTCTTTGGTAGTCATTTTGAATTTTTGATGAAAGATTGAGATATCTTTGCTAAATAATTGTAAAAATAAAAAAAATATAAAAACACATTTCCACAAAAAACCAACGTAACTGGTATCGTGGGGGCTGCGCGGCCCCCAGAAGGTACGTAGCTCCATCCTTGTAAGTGCTACAGGGCCGAACATTTGGCACTAGCTAAGAGTCACGACGTAATGAGATTACATAAAATGGCAGCTGCGCACGATATTTAGATTTTTAGAAAATTGTAAAAATATGACACGTGGGGGCCACGCGGCCCCCATAAAACCAGTTAAGGGTTAAGAAAACTTATTTTAAAAATTTCATCACTTGTTCCTCAAGTGCAACATACAATTGACATTTTAATTTTTGGATCAAAAAATGATAAGATCATAAACGTTTATGGTCTTATTTTTACAATTAGAATTCATATCTAAGTTTGACTTAAAATAAGTTAAAGTATTCATTAATTAAAGTTACATGAAATTGTTAGGTATATGTACTTTTAATGTAATTTGAATACTGTTAATTCATGCCTATATTTATAGTTTTGTACATTTGTATTTTGTTTACTTATAGATTTAAATTTTTTTTCTTTCTACTTCAAACTTTTCAGGATATCATCAGTTTTACATAAATAGAAAAATCAGATACAATACTCAAGTAAAATTTGATTTTATAAATTAGAATGTAGATTATAAATCCTATAAGTATTTAACATATTTGAAATTAGATAAATGATACATGTTAAATACCTCACATGCTAAAAATAATAATATATATATAAATTGATTCAAAACTGTATTAAATGCATATAATTAGAATAATAAAAAGTTTCCAATATTTTTATTATTTAAAAATCTTATATTTATTTGTTATAAGAATAATATATAAATTAGCGAAAAAGTCTAGTAGAATTCAGCAAATAAATGTAATGTATTAAGTTATATACTAAAGAGTGATTTTTTAATATCCAGTAAAGAGATTTTATTTTAAAAGATAATGGTTTGACTAATATTTAATTAATAAGAAACGTAAATTCAATATAATCACGTTAGATGTTCTGCCTTTGACTATTGTTACATTCATTTTGTGTTAGTATCTTCAGTCTTCTTATTTCCGACATATTTCGAGTCAAGCGAAAATATTTTTAATTTGATCCCCTTAATTTGAAAACTTGCGTTTTATTTTACAAAGTATTTTTAAACGTGATGCTTAACAATTTCTTCGCATTTTGAATCCAAGCGTTATGTATTAATATCAGTTGCAATGTCCGATATAATGCTGTTGTGGCTTCACGAGGTATTTAGCGGTGGATGTGCGAAATAATGAAATGAGAATCTCATCAATAACTAGCAGGTAAGACCGTAATTGCCGGGCAAAAAAAAATGAGAACAAACATTAAGATTATTAAATTATTTTGTACTTTTAACCTTTGTTATATCATAGTTTTTTTAATGCTCTTTCCTCCCTGTGGGCACTAAGAGGGCCTCTTATAGTGGGCCCATTATGGGTTCGGCCAGGCCCGCAATGGGGCAGCCCGGTGGTGAGGGGCGGGGCTCGACATATCCGAACGGACCACTCCCTGAAAGATTCCTGGGGATTCCTTGATCCGTCCGGATTTGATCCCGGATCTCCAGAGCGGTAGGCTGACACTTTGACCACTCGGCCATCCGGCCGTCTGTTATATCATACTGTAGCTGTAGTATTTGATTTGTTAAGAAAGGTTATCTAACGTAAGGGTTTATCACACCGAGTGTCCAATCTAACAATTTAAAAAATTCTTTATTTCTCTATTATACACAATTTAAAGAATTTATATATATAGAGTCTTTCAACAAGCGGTGTCATTTTAAATCAACAGAAAAATGCAATATTTTTGTGAAAAGTGATATTTTTATTTTAATCAAAAGTACAAACTCTGAGGTTAGTAATGGAACACAATATCTGCCAAATTTCCGTCTCAGCTCTTCTTACAAATGGTCATTCTTTTGATGAAATTTTTCATCACGTTTTCGCGTATTAGCGGCTGTATTTCGCCAATAGCAGCTGTAATATTGTCTTTGAGTGCTTGAATCATTGCTGGAGCATTGGTGTAGACTTTACCTTTAACGTAGCCCCAAAGAAAAATGTCTAATGGTGTTAAATCGCTTGATCTTGGTAGCCAATTGAAGTCTCCATTTCGAGAAATCACATGTCCAGGAAATTTTTCATACAATAGAGCCATTGTTTCACAAGCTGTGTGGCAGGTAGCACCGTCCTGTTGAAAATAAATGTCGTCTGCATCCATAGCATCAATTTTAGACCAAAAAATGTCAGTCAACATTTCAACTCAGTCAGTCAACTCGGTTTTCAGCCACACTCTCAGCTACAGCAGTGATATTTCCATATGACCTGGCCGGACTAGCACGAGTTGGAGTCTTCACATCACTAACTTGTCTGAGACATTCAAATTTATTGATTAAATTCACTATAGCTGTGTAAGAAGGCACTTTATGATGACCAAAAGTAGTACGAACTTTACAAACTGTTTCCGCAATATTTTTACCATTTTTATAGTGAATTTTCACTATTTCAATGCATTGTGTGACTGTATATCGATCCATATTTGAAAACCACCTAGTTTTTACTTGTCAAATGTCACCACAATGACAGATGTATATTGACAGTTGAAAAATGGCGCGAAATTTAAAATGACACCTCTTGTTAAAAGATCCGGTAGTAGAGAAATAAAGAATTTTTAAAATTGTTAGATTGGTCACTCGGTGTGATAAACCCGTACGTTAGATAACCTTTGTAGTGATATAAATCAAATATAACAAACATTAAAACGAAAACCATATAGAGTTTGATTATTTCAGCCTATCATTGTCACGTTTATCGCGATACTCGGATGGTACGAAATGGCACAATTTCATTGGTCAAGTAAACGCCAATTGAATATATCTTAAAAAATTTAAGATATGTTTTTTCTAATGTTAACTCTAAGAAACTGCCATTCACAGCCAAGTATCAAATGTTAATCTGCCAATGAATCAAATTTCGCGAAAAATGGACCAAATATTTAAACTCTGCATCTCGAAAACCACTTAAAACATATTTCGTGCTGGCCGATAACTTTGTATTACGTAATTTTCTTATACCAATGTTACCATACTGCTGGTCCGATAGAAAGAAGGGAATGTTGCGGAAGGGGGATTGAAGTAAGTCGACCAAAAGTAGTCGTCGACCTCTTTCCGGGAGAAAGAATGGTCAACGACTACTAATTAATATTGGTCTATTAATATTTGAAAAGTGATCCGTGTTTGATAGGTTGTGATGGCCCTGCATGTGATCGAAGTTGCTAACCTTAGCGTCCCAAAGACTTCATATAAAACTTGTTTAAATAGAAGGAATTATTCTCGCACTTTTATGTGATAATAATTTTCGCAACAGTTTGTATAAACTACGTGGGAAGTATGTTCTCGTAAATATCGCGTTTATAGAAAAATTATTGGGCTGCAATTTGAAAAAAATTGTAGACAAATTCCGACTGTTGTCTATCTGTCCTTACTTAGTCTCGAGAAAGGAGTTAGTTAGATGAAAGTCGAGACCAGATGTGGAAAGCTTAGGGTCAGGAGGCATTAACTATGTAGGAACTTCCGGTTTGGAAGAAAGTCACGTTACTTCGATTCAAAAGTTTTCCCCGAAAGAAGTTAGATAGATGACCGATACGACTCTATTGCTAATAGGAAATGATGGCAAGTGACGGTCTTGTCTCTGTATGATGTACAAGGACAAGACCACCACTAAAAGAATTGAGAACATTGTGATGAAAAGTTGCATCTCTGCATTGTGATGATGTCAC